GTAAATAACAAATGTACGAATTACAAGAGGGTCGCAATGGGGTGATGGATTTTACGGCTTATGATTAATTTCTTCTCGTTGATGTTAAAGGAAATTTTTCACGATTAACTTTTTTTACGACTAACGGTCAATGCTTTTTGTTTGCCGTTTTACAGCTAAAGGTTGACCACATTAGCACTCTCTTACAAATGTAGACTCCGCTTGAATGTAAATATTTTTACGTGTGCAATTAAAAATCGTTGCCGTCCTCTTAATACATGCGGCTTTGCTTCGTTTGCTTTCAGTTTTATTCGTCAAAAGTCGTTTAGCATGTTATCGATAGCGGCAGCAAAAGTTACTTTTGGCTCAGCTCGCGAGGGACCATAATTGAAATGATAGTTTTGGCACCATTTTCGTCGACCGTGACAAAGAAAGTAAAGCAAGCAGCGTGAGAAAGGATTCGTACGCAATAAAACGGCTTTGGCGCAAACATAGACACTCTGAAACATAGACACTCCGAATTATTTAATGGGCCAACATTCGCAGATTTACACCAAAAAAATAGGCAAATCAAGGAAGACTGGTCCAAGGAGGGGAGGGGTGGGGAGTGGAGAGCTCATTGAGCTAGATGAGCTTGCCTTCGATGTTTTAAGGCTGTGAAAGCGCCAATATAGAACCAGTGAAGGTCAGCGATTGGGATATTGAATTTTGGGATCGTCTTCGCAACAGCTTCTAGCGTTGAAGGTGAAATAATTATACTCCATAATTAAATAATTCAACTCTCTTAAACGTGCAAGTCCTTTTGGTAATGAGAATGTTACTATCGTCATTTTCTACTCATGCAAGGGGAAAGAACTACCATATGTTGCCAAATTGGAGTAAAAGTTTTATGAACCAATTCAGATCTTAAAGAAACCCCTAACCCCACCCTGCAACACTTACCCTTTCCCAACACAAACGAACCAGAGCGACCGCAAACCCGGAGACAATGAATTTATCGTTATGTTTAATTTCTTTGCAAAAGGTGGCGTTGGAAGTTACACTGATGAAGTGCAAGTGTCTACCGTAGAAACTGAGAGTGTTGAAGAAGTGTAACGTAATGGTACCCGCTCACTACAAATGTTACTCAAACAGGCAGTCGCGGCTTGTATTTTGTACTTGTGATTTACAGGTCGGACTCTTGTAAAAATAAAAGTTAAACTCTTGTAAAAGTGTTATTAAATTTGATTCTTATTATCTTTTACACTTGTAGCACTACACTTGTAATTACAAGTCGGGCACTTATAATCTGGACTTGCAACGATGCCTATTATACTCGTTTTCGTCTGCACTTTGAAACACATTGGTCCTAGTTGTAGATTACAAGTGTAAAAGTTTTACTAAATTAACCCCTGCTTTCTGTAAGTTTCCGAAAGTGCTGACAAGGAGAATTTGTTGGCAATCAAGAGATTCTTTTGCCGGCGAACATTTCCTTTGGCTGTTACATTCCTCGTCTTCTCGGATAGGACGTAAAACCGTAGGCCCCGTCTCCTGCAGGGTTGGGGTAGGAGACGTTAATTTCCCACGCACGAGATTACTGTGTGGTGGATGTCCTCCCCTGGGGTGGGATGGGTGGAAGAGACACTAATTGTCAAGCGCCTTTGATCATCCATAAATGTTAAAGGGCGCTATATAAGTAAATAAATTATTATTATTATTAATTATTATTCTTGTGACCTTAACC